CCTCTACCTGCAGCGCATCCGCATCGCCAACCCCACCGAGCGGGTGGCCGCCTTCGAGGCCTCGGCCCCCGCCGCCGCCTCCGCGCTGGGCGGGCGCTTCGCCACCAGCCTGGAGAAGGTGGAGGAGCGGCAGTTCCTGCTCTCCTCCGGCCGCCTGCTGCTGGCCGGCGGCCCCAAGGTGGTGCTGGTGGTGGTGGCTGCCAAGAAACTCGTGAGCCGGGTGCAGGTCGCGCCCAAGTCGCACTTTGACGAGACCGTGCTGTCTGTGGTGTACACCTCGGAGCCCATCGAGGCCTCCAGGCTGGAGGAGACCTTCAGCAAGCTGAGGGAGGCAGCCAAGAAAGAGATGCTGGAGGTGATGCAGATGGGGGTGGACGATCTTTTCCAGGAGCACCAGCAGACCTGGTCTGACTTGTTCATTTCAGGTGAGGAAAGTGATGTTCAGCTTCCATGGGGTTGCTTTAGAGGGCGGCTGAAAGCTCAGTGTGCTGGTTGCTGTGAGGTCACCGAAGGCTCTGGTCTTCCTGATGGGTTTTGGGACAGTGAAACAGTGTTCCTGATTTGGAACCCAGCCTATCTTACAAAGAGTACTCCTGACTATGTATAGGAAGCGATAGAAGAACATTTATAATCATTATTCTGTGTGTACTGCTTTTTGTGGCTTCAGGAACTTCAGTGACTTGCCCTGCATGTCAGTTGGAAATAAAGTTGACCTTTAGTGATAGTATAAAAGACAGATTCTGCATGGAAGCTAAGGGCCATTCTACAAAGATGCTTTTTCTTAAGATTTTAATGTCTTACATAAAAGAGTAGCTGACTAAATAATGTAGAACTCACAACTTTATATAAAGATTGTGATCTTTTGACAGATCATTCTTGCAGAGTCATGATGGCAGGCCTGTAAGGCATCTGTATATTAAATTAGCTTTGTCATTAGTAGGTGCTTGCCTTTCAAACTCCCAAGTAGCAGAGAGAGTATCTTCTTAGACAAGCACAAGGAAACATTTCACTTTGGTGTTTTTATGGGAAAAGGCTTCTTAGATGTTATAAAGAACACCTGCATATTGAACATATGTTTGATCTTCTTTTCCTGCTAGTCAATTTCTGACTATTGGCTGTTTTCTTTTGCTACAGGGATTGAAATGAGAAAGATCACAGATGCACATACCCCATCCAGTGAGACTGTCAACATGACCCTCTACTACGTGCTGTCAACTGTGCCAGCCCCCCTGCTAGACCCACTCATCGGGGGTGAGGACAGGGAGAAGATTGAAGCCAGCCTGAACTATGCTGACCACTGCTTCAGTGGCCACGCCACCATGCACGCCGAGAACCTGTGGCCACCAAGGCTGACCAGTGTCACCCAGATCCTGCAGCTCTCAGACCTGTGGAAGCTGACTCTCCAGAAACGGGGATGCAAGGGTCTTGTGACAGCTGGAGTGCATGGACTGATGCAGGGAATGGTGCTTAGTTTTGGGGGTCTGCAGTTCACAGAAAACCATCTTCAGTTTCAGGCTGACCCTGACGTACTTCATAACAGCTATTCCTTACGTGGGATCCATTACAATAAGGACTTGATCAATTTAGCTGTTCTCCTGGATGCTGAAGGAAAGCCCTTCCTGCATGTGTCTGTGAAGTTCCAGGACAAGCCTGTCAGACTGTACGCGTGTGAGGCAGGCTGTATGAACGAGCCCGTGGAGCTGACCTCGGAGGCACGGGGTCATACCTTCCCTGTCATGGTGACTCAGCCCATCACACCACTGCTTTATATATCAACAGATTTGGTTCACTTGCAGGACCTAAGACACACACTCCACCTAAAAGCTATTCTGGCTCATGAGGAACACATGGCCAAGCAATACCCAGGCTTACCCTTCCTGTTCTGGTTCAGTGTGGCCTCCTTAATTACTTTGTTTCACTTGTTTCTGTTCAAACTCATCTACAATGAATATTGTGGGCCGGGAGCCAAGCCACTCTTCAGGAGTAAGGTATAAGGCTGCTGCTTTTGGCTGCTGTCCCCTGAGTGTTGTCAGCCTGATGTTGTGTCAGCTGTGCCTGGGCAGGCTCTGTCTTGGACTGTGATGATTTTCAGCCTCCCTTGAAAGAAGCAATCCTTGGAAGAAGGAGGATTAGGGCAGGGATTGGAGCAGTAGGGCTCACAATCGTTAGAAAAGATAAACTCATTGTCTGTCCTTAGACATTTGTGAGGCTGCAGGTGGAGGCAAACACAGCTTTCTGTCCTTTTTCCACACATCAGTGTAGGACTTTGCTTGTTCCTAGGCCCGCAGTTGTCATGAGATGATGCTTCTTATTCAGTACCAGCAAGCATGTGAGAGAGCTGCTGTACTTGTCTGTACTGCTGTGTGGAGGTCTGCACACCTGCCTGCCTGCTCTGAGTGTCACACAGGAACACCCAAAGGCAGGCTGGTGTTCTGAGGTGAAGGTGCTGATCTGCTGGGACTCGTGGTACATGTTCATATTATAGACACTGTGCAGTCCTCCATCAAATCACACCACCATCATTTTGGGAAGATGCTGAATTGCTGTTTCTCCCAGTCAGATAAAAAACAAAGCTGTGTTAAGGAAAGTACTGACTGCTTTTTACTGTGAGTTGAAGGTTCTGGCTCCAAGCTCTTACGCATCTTACCTGGCTGTAAAGAATTCCCAAGTTGTTTTGAGTTGCTTTGGAAAACTTACTTGCTGTAAAAACTTAGCACAGAATAGGCAGTAGATGGTGAGTTCTGCTCTTAGTACTGGGACTTTCTGTCTGTGTGTTGATATGAAGTGGAAATGCAGGACCAGACTGGATTTGCTGTGTGAGCTAGTTGTGCTGTTCAGAGGCTTCCCTCCTGAGGGCTGAACAGAGTTAAATGTAGGTTTTGTTTTTAAAAAAAGGAGATATTTAAACAGAGCTGTCAGAGGAAAAGTTCTAGCTATAGATTGTACTGTTATTCCAAATTATAAAATCAAATTGGATTTTGGATAGCTAAGGCTGAGCAGGAGGTGTTGAACTTGACAGCTGATATGTATGGGGTGTTTAAAGTGAGTTGGAAATTTCCCTGTCATCTCACTGGTTTTGTCATTTTGAGCACTGGAGATCAAACCTGATCCCAAGCAGGTCTGAATACCTGTGATCCAATAAAAGGTTGAGTGGGAGGTGCTTGTAGCCAAACTAACCTAGGAAGAGGTAGGATAGAAATGTGTATCAGACAGCTGCAGTTAAAGCCTCTGATCAGGATCAGAACCTCGGTGCAAAGGGAGGGAGGGGTTAGGAGGTGATGTCAGTTTTTGTGTAATAGCTGTGCCCTGACACACACCTGAAATGTGTCCTTGGAATTACGTAATTATGTCCTTTCACTGTTGTCTATCCAGTTGCCTTTGTCATCTCCAAGACTTGCCTTCTGCCTTTTACCAAGTGACTTGTTAACCGTTGCTGCAGGTGACTGTCCCCGACTCTGCCCGCTGAAGTGCCCAGAGGCTTCAGAGCCACAGCCCAGGGCTGCCCTGACACCTCATCCTCCTGGGCACTGCAGGGCAAACAGCTCTGCTCCTCCTCTTTGTTGGACCTGCTTCAGATGAAGGTGGTGCAGAACTTGATTCCAGAAATGGGGAAGAAGTGGAAGCCAGCTGAAGCTCAGAATCCGTAGCAGTAAGCAAGATAGATGGTCTTGAAATAACCTGTACCATTAACTGAATGGGAACATCCCCACATCCGAGTGAGCTTAGTCCTGCTTTCAGCCTCCACTTGCACAAGACACCTGGCAATTTTGCAGCTGAGAATAAGGACCATTTGAAAGCAACAATCCTTTTGTGCCTTGCTATGACAGGAGTCTGAGACTTGGAAGGTGATTTAACAGTTTATCCCAGAAGCTTGTGTAACAGACGTTTCCTTTCCCTGTAAGCTGTTCAGTTCCCTAGGAGTAATCCATTTGGTGAAAATACTTGAAGATGTACTAAGTCCTTTGATATTTTGATCTGGTTCTTTTTTTTTTAATTCTACAGAAAAATAAAGGATGATGATTCCCTTCTGAGAGTTAACTAGAAAACTTCAGTGTAACTTCCTTTCTGGTATACAGTTTTTAATTTATTGCTTGGGGGGGAGGGGGAGTATGTTAATTTTTCCTCCACTTCAGTAACAGTCAATTGAACTGTAGATATCTAAGTTCTCATAACAGGTTTTTCAGCCTTTATGACTGTAGAGTGCAAAATCAATTTAATGAAATTGTTTTCTGGATATACACTTGGAAATGCTGATCTACAGGTTTCCTGTTCTAAGCCTATTGAGACTTTGTGCATTGATTTGTTTTGGCTAAGGGGAAGACATCCCACTTTCTAGTGACTTACAGGTTGTTTGGTTTTAAAATACCAAAGCTGTTGTTTCTAAATAAATATCTTTCAGTCTAATCTGACTGCTGCAGTGTGGTTGGGCTTTTTTGTTGGTTTTGTCTCTGTTCTCTCCTGCCTTTGCTCCCCACCCAGTTTAGATAAGCAGAGCCTTATGGTACATCTGTGGCCAGTATTGACTGCAAATACAGTGTGGAAAATAATATATAAATGGATATAAGCCAGCTATAAGACAATTTGGAAGGCACAAGAAGTGACAAAACCACACAGGGTAAAGCTCATCTCCATTTCCTTACGAGTATATATAGCTCAGCATGACCTTATTCTATCTTGAGGAATGCAGGCCAAACTTTACTTTGAAGAGCACAGAAATGATCCCAGGGAACCATCAAGCAGCAGATTTAACATCCATCCAGCAAGTAATAAATTTGGCACAGTTTGTGGTCCCAAGGAAAAACTGGGTCAGGATTTAAATTCAAATTTTCAAAGGGGTCTGGTTTCAGATGAAAAACATCCCTCAGGAAAGCAGATTTCAGTGTCTGTGGCTTTTCTGCAGACAATTCCATTTACTAATTCGTATAGCAGAGTTACTGCCCTTCAAGGGAATAAAACCAGGGAAGCAACAGATTCCATCATAAGTTGTATACAGGTAAATTGTGTATTGAAGGAGATATTTACTATTCTGCTTTAACAGAAGATTCCAGAAGCTCCTTCTCTTTCTGACTGAACTTCCACGAGCTGCTTAGTGTCTGAAACATCTGGCATGAAGATAAGAACTTCCAGGGGCTATTTCCAAGCCACCATGGTATCAGCTGGAGGCTGAGCCATTTGATGTTCCCTGGCAGAATTGCCAGCAGCATGACACCCATGGAGCCCAAGGAAGACTGGAAAAGATGGATAAGCTGCCATCACATAAAGCATGAATAGAAAAAAAAAAACAAACCAGATTTCAGAGTGTTTTACAGTAAATATATTTGGATTCCTATGAGCATTTCCTCCATAACAAAAGAAGTGTTTCAGAATTCCTCCATGAGGAAGGGGAAAAGGAAAGGTTTCTCTATTTACAGTATGCAAGAGAACAGAAGGTTGTATTTGTGAAATGCAGAAGTGCTTAAAGAACTAAACAAAGTTCCAGGTTTACAAGCACACAACAAATGAAGAAAGTTAAAATAGTAACTGACCATCCAAAATTTATACTTTTAGTTGGAATTCAGTGAAAATGATAGTGACATTGAAGTTAAACTGAGCAGCACAACATGTTCAGCTTGTAAATTCAGACACAAAGAAAAGAGCCAACAAATTAATGGAAAAAAAAATTTAGAATCTCAATTCTGCACTGTTAATCCTGGTTTCTGCTTTTGTCAGATAATAAATACAAGATGCCAGAACAGGGTTTGGTTGATCCAATTTGCAATCCAAAATGCAGCTTTCTCAAGTGCTATTGTCTGGGTAGGAAAATACATTCTTGAGAAGCAGACAAAACAGCAAAACATTCTATATTTCTGCTTTCCACATGTGTGCTCCAGGCATCTTTCATCCAAAACAGTACCTACTGCTGAATGGAAGCTCTGGAAATCAGGGATTTTGCTGCTTGTTAATCCTGACATTAAACATTAGATTTATTTCAGCATGTTTGAACCTCTTGTTTGGTGTCTCTGTACAACACAAGCTCTGGTTCCAAAACTGGCATTATGATATTTGTTTCCATTCTAGTAAGTTTGTTCCCTATGGGGAATTTAATGTCCTGCCTTATGGGATAGAGATGTTTGGTTTTCAAATAACCAGCAACAATGGTTGGTGGATAGAAAGGTAGCAAAGGATGGAAAATTCTTGTAGTAGAAGATAAGAAAAAAAAAAGAGACAGGGGTAAGCACTGATATCACTGATATCTAGTCACTGATCTCAAATATCAGTTAATGAATTAGGACATTTCCTTTTTGGCAGCATCTCTGGAGGGGTGCAAGTGCCTGCTCTTGCCTGCTTTGTCCTGTGAGTGCTTTGCTCTTCTCAAGAACAAGCTCACAGTGTGTTACAGCCCAGGTCAGTGCTGCTCTGGGGTGTGCACAGGCTCATTTGCAGTGCTGCAAATGCCCTGTTCTCTTCCAGGGCTGTGCTGCTGATCTAACAAAGGGAAATAGGAAAGGAGCAGAGTCTGACTCACCACAGCATACCAGGATTTCTGCTTCATCATGGACAGCTGGTTCTTTGTATGGCTTGAAGTACATTCCACTTCAAAGGGATTACAGGCTGGTTTATTGAAGAAGTCTGGCATGCTGAAACACATGCAACTTGATCTGGGAATGAAAATACAAGTTTTCAGCCAGTACAATGTGGTAGATGCCATTCAGTTACATACAAAATAAAACAAAACAAAAGCAGACCTCAGACCAAAATAAAACCCCAAGCAGTTGTAGAATTGTACAATAATTAAGGTAGGAAAGGAACTTCTGGAGATCAACTAGTCCAACCCCACCAACACATCTGAATCTATCACTGAATATATCAGACACTGCTGACATGCCACCAAGTGTTAGAATAATTAATTTAACATTTTCCTTCTGTGAACACCTTTGTGATGAACTTTCAAGGCAATGGAAATGCAAACAGCTGCTACAGATAATAAGCAATTCATTTGGAATTCCTTTTAACCAAGTTGTTTATACAGCCTGGACCCAAGGCTATACAAACTAAAAAATGGGGATTTTTTTTTTTTAGCAACTTATGTATATAAAGAATTATCCCACAGTGACACAAGTTTTCCATTGGTATTGGAATAGCTCTGCATTATAAATCATATGTTCCAGAGATAAAGGACACTGTATAAAATGGTGTGGAGTTGAGCCTGCAGCACCCAGAAACTGGCACCATGCTTGGAGTCCTCTTTGCTGTGTTGACCCTGGCACCTGCAGGTATGTGTCCAACTTCTGCTTTAGTTTTTTCTTTTAAAAAAGTGAATTAAAATCTAAAAACAACTTTCCTTTATTAGACAAATTGAGCATTGTGCATCATAGAAATACAGAAATACAGAAAAAAAATACAGCACAGGATGTTGGTTACAAGGCTGTCTCAAAAGAGGAACTGGGTGCTGTGCTATTTCATGTCTTAGAGCTCTTTTTTTAAACCTACTTTCAAAACATCCTGTTTGTATGTCCTCTAGCCTTTGGCTGCGGGGTTCCTGCCTACCCACCTCTCGTGTCCAGAGTTGTTGGAGGGGAAGATGCAAGACCATACAGCTGGCCCTGGCAGGTTGGTCATTCTGTGCTTTCCCTGGAACAGCTGGGGCTGTGCTACCTCTGCACAGCACAGCTCAACAAAACCACGGCTTAAATTCCATCTGATGCATCATTGCCTGACATGTCTTAGGTTTCTGGTCAATTTTAGGATTGATCTCTTCTGATCAATCCTAAAATTTCCAGGTTTTTTAAGAAAGTTCTCAATGTGCTGCATTTTGCTGGCAATGCAGGCTCTCATTTTAAGTCAAGTAGACTTGGGCTATTTAAGCAAGCTCTATTTATTTTAAAAATCAAGTTTTGGATGACAGGGGAGGAGGGAAAGCTTTTCTGTGGCCAGGAGTTGGAAGCTTCAAAGCTTTCCACCATCAACAAGTTGTGTTCTGGGTTCAGGAACGAAGAACACTGATGAAAAATGAGTAAGCAAAAGCCTGAGCTTTGCTTGGTTCCTTGATTCCAGGCCTCCCTTCAATACCGTTCCAATGGCAAGTGGTATCACACCTGTGGGGGAACCCTCATTGCCACCAACTGGGTACTGACAGCTGCCCACTGCATCAGGTAAGGAAGAGAAATCTGACCCAGGAAGCAGCACATGAGCAGAAAGAGGTGAATGAAATCTGTATCAATGCCAGTTCTCCCTTTCCCAGTTGAAAGCTCTGAGTTTCACATAGTATCTTTTGATTAAAAGCCAGGAGAATGACACCTCTTTATTTTCTCAATGTAAAAGAGGGGGAAAACCCCAGTTACCTGAATTAAATATTTTTCATTTTCTATAAACCAGCTATGAACATCCTTCTGTTTTCAAGCTGCTATTAAAATTCAGCTGTGTTGCCTATTTCTGCAATACACATGTCAGTGAGATCCACAAGTTAACTAATCAATCCACTCCCTGAATAAATAATCACAAATATTTTGAACAAACCAATCTTTTTCAGTAAACTCCTCATATTATGTGGCAATGCAACAAAAAAATTATCAGGTACAGTGATGTCATTTCATCAAGAGAACTGTTTCCACAAATACAACCCCATTTTCCCTTGTAGCAAATGATTAGAGTAACATTAAGTTGTAGCAAATATCATAATATGAAACATGAAGGATTGGTGTGTTATTTTTATAAATCCTGCATATTACATCTATCACAGATGAGTGAATCTCTCAGGAGCCTGATGTGGATGCCTGAGCAGCAGCTGAGTAATTGAGTGTTCATCTTTTTCTTGCCCAGTTCTTTCATGACATATCGAGTTTTTCTTGGAAAATACAACCTAGCAGTTGAGGAAAAAGGATCAATTGCACTTTCTCCAGAAAAGATCATTGTTAATGAAAACTGGAATCCAGAGGATGTTGCAAATGGGTAAGCTGGTGGCAGGTATTTTTTCAGTTTTTAGGTGGAGGGTAAAAATCAAACTGCCTGAATCCCACTCACCTGGAGTTATGGCAATTAAATTCATGTTTAGAGCCTCCTGTTACAGTGTTCAGTTCGTACCTTCCAATTAGCAACCAACAGTATCAATTTCTTATTGATTAATAATGTCTCCAGAAGCCATTTTTCATGTTCATGCTTGGGTCAGAAGCTGTTCCATGCAGTGATCTCTTCTGTACAGTGAAAAGGAATGAAGCATTTTATACAGCACTCTTTGAAGCTCTCCTCCCAGCAGCACAGACACAGAATTACTGATTATTAATATCCATGTGGCTGAAGGACCCCTGTGTCCTGCTGCAGGTGAGGGGCAGTAACAAAGAAATCCCCTCAGTTCCAGTCCTTGGAGTGAATCCTAACATATGCTTGGTTTTGGTGGGAAAAAAAGCCATAAAAGACAATTTTTAACCATCAG